GAACGCCAACAAACTGTTTTCCATTCGTACCGAATAATAATAACTGATTTTTTTTTCTCGTCATCTGCTCGTCGATTAAAACCATAAGATTATGTGGACATTTCGTTTTTTCGCTCTTTATCAATAGTTACTAATTTCGTAAATTATAATATTTATTATTATGTTCGACAGAACCATAAACACGGTACCTACACGCGATTACCGCACATTTGTCTGCTAAATTAATTCGATGGAATCGACAAATAAACGGTGAGTCGGTGTGCGAATAAAGCGGTAGTTACATCGCAGAGCTTACATAATAGAACGCTAATTAATAATTATAATTAATATTCTGTTTTATACGAAGTTCAAAAAAAAATCAGTTTTACAAGAGATTTTTGTTGTTTAAATGGTTGAAAATATAAAAAGACGGACATGCTTCGCACGTGGATAGACCGCTGTTGTAGATGAGAAGTTGAGAAGGTAGACGGGAGATTTAATGTATATCTGTACTCAACGTTTAACCATTCTTAACGAAAAACGATTCTGAACGGAATTCGGTTAATATTGTTACCTTGTCAAAAATATATATATATATACCACATTATGGCAAAAATAGTTACATACGTATTATATATATATGTATTTAATTATATCTGTTTAATATTTTATTTTCCCGTTTTTCATCATTTATTGGGAAATTTCCCGAGAAAACTAGAAAGTGATTTCCATATAGTACTGTACCGGGAAAATTCCTTTTCAGAAAAGATCCTATACTTGATATTCGGAGGAAGATTTTTAGTGGAATTTTCACGCAGAGATAGAAAAAAAAAAAACATCTTTGTACATATACATTCTTCGCTACACTTTGTTTATTATCATTACGATATATAATAATCGATTGAAGCGATGTAATTGTTTTTTTTTTTTACATCTTATGCGATAATATCATGACGTCTTGTATAGTATTATATCGGCTTAATCGTAAAATCTCCGCGCTTTAAACGCTCACGGACACAGAGATTCCGTGGGATTTTATGCCGTCATCAATACAAGCAGGTATCCATCAAAATATTGTTTAGACCCAAAATAAATAATATTCGATTAATTATTCGATATTTAATAAAAATAAAAAACGTGGGTGTTCTATACGGCCAAAAACTATCGTTTACTATCGTTTATTAGTTACTCCGAAACGCGGTGTATAATATTAATTTTTAATCGTACGTGATAATATTACGACCGTGCGTTGATTTCGTCGGTACAAGAACGGTGTAAACATTTAGTGCAAACGCCCGGGGAATTTCGTGTAAGGTATTGCATCGCCTGCAGTTGCGCCCACGACAACAAAATAACCACCGCGAAGTAAATTGTATATTTTAATAAGATATACAAGTAGCCGCAGGGACTAAAATTGTGTGTAGTACGATACACACTTATGAGCGCCTGTAGGTAATTTATCAGGTAGGATCAGTGTACGTAGTAAAGTTTCAAATGGCCTTTTTTGTTTACGCATAACCTTTAAATAAGAACCAAACCGATATAGGAAAGGGCATAATAAAATCAAACGCCGAACAATTATAATTAAGTTTTATAAATTATCTAATTATTAAAACTATATTTAAAATTTTTAAGTCCAGGGAAAGGTGGATGCCCCGTGTTGCCCCCCCCTTCCGGGAACCTATGTACACAATGTCTAATACGAAATGTCATGTTTGCAGTACGAATTCTTAAAAGTGTACAGCGGCTATATTATATGAAATATATTTGTATTCGTTTTTAATTTTACATTTTTTTGTACTTTTCTTCGCATTAAAAAATAATAACAAATGAAAATATCAGTAAGAAACATCAATCAGAAAAATCGATTATATACTATAACGATTAACGGAGTACACTTTTTTTTTAAACGAAAATTCTGGGAAAAATAACTGTTGGGTCTTGTTGGTATTCCGAATACAAAAGAAAGGCGAATCCGAAAAAAACAAGAAACATTTTGTAAATCAAACGGTCAGATATAACCGAATAAGTAAAAAAAAAAAACTGATAATGGAGACGGGTGCAGTCGTTGTTATAGGCAATTTAATTTTTATCTGTAAGCAATGATTAACTATTGCTAACGAAAAAAAACGCTATTCTAAACGGAGTTCGGTTGATAGTGTTGTTTCATCAACAGTTTCATGGTAAAATAATTGCATATGCAATTTATATTATCGCAAAGAATATATGTGTTTAATATTGTACGTATTTTCCCTTTTTTCCCGGTTTTTCCAATTTATTGTGAAAACTCCCGAGAAAATCAAAAAATAACCTCCGTAAAGTACCTTTGCAGTCGGGTTTATATTCAGAAAAAGCGCTATGATTGTAAATCGGAGCGAAATCGCTGGTAGAAAAGTTGTGAACGGACAAAAAAGAAACAAACAAAGACATCATTGTAAAGCCATAACAGCTCGTTCGCTCGGCTCAGAATCTAAAACGATCGCAGCGGGTCGTTCGCGTGGGAAAGAAACGGTTCAAATACGGCGGGTACGGCGTTTCGGGTGCCGTGTGATAATCCGTTTCCTATTGAAAAGACCGAGCGGAGAATGCGGACGGGGGAACGTCGATGATGTGCCGGGGAAACCGAACGCCATCGCGACGGGCGGAGTGGCGGGAAATACGTCGGACCACGGTTCGGGTATCGCAATAATCGTGTAACGGACGGATCTATTACAGAGAAGAATTATTAATAATCCAGTCGCACTGTTGAGTCGTTTCGGAATGCGTATTATTATAACCGTTTTGATTGAACGTCGCGCCGAATTTCGGAAGACCCCATTCCGGTCGTCGCGCGCGGTTTCTTCCGTGTCGAAAATACGAAACCGCCGCCGCCGCCGCCGCCGCCGCGCAACTGTTTACACCGAAGCTCGACACGAGAGCGGCGGCGGCGGCGTCGACGACGACGACGACGAAAACAATAAAATAGTTTACGGGCTGCAGTAACATTAATTACTATTAAAAGGCTTCGTCGTCGTCGCCGCCGCCGCCACCGCCCGGGGTAGAGCGTGGGCGCGAAGAGGTGGCGATTGCCGGCGTTGGCGTGACGAGGAGTCTCTCGGCGTGCGTGCGTTACCCCGCACAATAATAATAATAATAATAATAATGTTACGATTATTATTATTTCGTGTAGTATTATTATTATTATACACCTATACCCACAGTCACTCTCACTCACTCGCTCTCACTCTCTCTCTCTCTCTGTCTGTCTCTCTCTTTCTCACTCCGTCTCACTCGCGCTCTCTCCGCGGCTGTCACCCGGTCACGGGTTCGTAGAAAACAGCTCTGTTACAACATATTATACTGCGGGGTATAATACCCGCCTATTATTGTTGTACGGGCGCGCGCCGCCGCGAAGAATGGGGAAGAAAAAAAAACGGTAGTGCCGCCGCCGTCGTCGTCGTCGTCGTCGCGGAGGGCGTGTAAAAAAACATAAAATATTATTATTATTATTATTATTATTATTAGGTAACTAGTTAAGGGTCGCGGGCGGCAGTACCGGTAGCGGTATGGCCGCGTACGCGGAGGCGCGCGTATATCACGCCGGGGTAACAGAGCCGACTGCTAAGTTCCGTTTTTCGGTATTATTACCCCCCCGACGGCGGCGGCGGCGGTACCTCCACGTTATAATACACGTATACCGCCGCGTTATACGTACCCCGGCTACGTGTACAAATATATACGTACACGGGTAACCGCACGGTGTGCGACGGCGGTCGTGTTTGTTGCGCGTCGCGTTTTCACGCATTCATTAAATCCCCGACCGACGGCCCCGTACCCGACGCTTTTACAACGGCGCCCGTACGACAACAGCGATAATAATAATAACAACACCGCGCGTAACACGTCGTCGGCCGACGCGCGGCAATATTATCGCGATGCCGCGACGCATTGTACCGCCTCCCCGGAACGCGATCGCAATGGATAACATCCCACGTTGCCCATACGTTATTGCGTATTATCGTGTCCGCGCATTAACGCGTACGCGATAACCCCGCGCGATAAAAACCGGACGCGGCCGACGGCGACCGCCGCCTTTGCGCGAATGGGTACGCGGCCGCCGTTCGCCGACGGGTCCTCCCGCGTGCGTTATTCGTCCATTCGTCCGGCTCCCCCCCACCCCACCCGCTGTGAAATCCGCGCGGGCGGGCCGCGAACGCGCGGCGTCCCGGCGGATCCTTTCGGGTTACGCGAGTCGTGTCCGGTTCGTTTTTCCTTTTTTTTTTTTTTTTCGGAATACACGAACAGTGTCTGTCCTCCGCCATCCGGCCGTCCGGGGGTTTTTTTTTTTTTAACACACGCGCTGAGTCCCGTAGTAGTAAAGCACACGGACAACGGCGAAGAACTACCCTAATAGCCGTTGAACGCATTCGTTTTTAGTATGATTGCATTTAAGATGGTAGTCCGACTGATCGAAGTATACGACCCGATTTCCTGGTCAACGATAAATTGTATTTTTATAAATACAATCCTATGGAACGGTATGTGACTCGACGCGGTAGTCAAAAGCGCAGAAAAGTCGATGCCGCCGGGTGCTGTTGGGACTCGGGAGCACGACGTTTTACGCAAACGACGATAACCGATTTTTCTGGTGGATACTTGGGGGGAAAGTGAAAATTTTAAAAACGAAAATTTACTGGAAATTAACAAATTCAAAAAATCGGTTGCCTATCGTTTATTTCGTATATTTTGAAAACCTAGTCAACCACGTATAAATAACTGATCCATGTTCTTGTCGAGGGTTTTCGAAGAAAGAAATTTGAAACTAATTCATAATATCGATGGTGACACGGCAAAAGGGTCTAAGCGACACGATTCATAGTCTTCAGGAGAGTCGAAAAACATTTATTTGTGATTTTAACATTTTTTTTTTTTTTTTAGGTTGACACAATAACTTCTTTTCAAGTTGGAGCACGACATTTTTTCATAGAATACGTCATTAATGTGAATGCTCATTTTTGATTAGCTTTTATTCCATTTAAACCCTATAATTGAGAAGACAAAATAAGAAATTGCATTTTTTATACCCCAAACTGCTTAAAATTCAAATCGTTCGTTAAATAATGGTCACAGATGCTTTTGCACACGCGCAATGGGAGAAACGTGTATAAATGTATGTTATTGAGCTCAGTCCAAGAGGAAGACCACGCAGGAAACAGAAGAATGTCCGAGATCCTGTATATAATTGATATGACAGAATTTACGTAGTCCGACAGACGGGCTGGAATAAATCCTTATATTATAGAGAAAAATTTAAAATGTCAGTTGGGTAAAATCTAAAAGCCTAAATGGCTTGTGAAGTTCGAAATAAATAAGTAAATAAATAATTATTAGCATATATAATATTCGATTCTTACGTCAGAAATTGTGTTTGCCTATAGTTTCGTGGTCAATTATATTGCACGTAGAATTGCATGTTTTTTTCCCCGTGCCATACCATATTATATACGTATGTATATTATATTATTAATTTTGAATATTATTTGAAATTGTTTTTTTTTTTTTTTTTTTTTTTTTTTTTTATTATTAATAAAATATTATGTTTTCTTCGGCCCCGCTGCACTATATATTTTCAAATTCTGCGCCATATAATTATACTCCACGGGAATTAATAATAATAATAACACACATTGTAATATGTAGGTAAATAATAATAACACCACAGTGCCCAGTCACAATAATAATTATGTTAACACAGCAGAAACTGTGTTATTATATAAAATGGTCGAACGAGCAGTATTTTTATTTAACGGAATAGATGACGTTTTTGTTCGGCATTGTATTATGGGGAGTAATAACAATTACAATATACAGGCGGTAAATTATGTGTGGACAGTTATTATTTCGCGCCGTTTTCGTCTCGTTCTTAGGTTTACGAGAAGACGGTGGATCGATCTCAATACGATGACGTTTACGATATTATAGCATTTTATTTCGCTCGGGCAGGAAAGGAACAGTGTTACTGCAACAATAACGCACCCCTTATGATGCTATTCAACCGAAATCCGAATAATCTTTCTTTAGTCAAATAGTAAAAAAAAATAAACGTGGCGACGGGTGACTAGCTGATTTTTTTTTTTTAAATCGAAAGAAGCTGGCCAAAAGTCTATTATTATTATTATTATTTTTTTTTTTTTTTAACGAAAGCGTTGAAACTGTATGGTTTACTACTTTGTCAAATAGTGTTGCGAAACATCTAACCTATCCTTAAGATTCATCAAAAAGTTGTTCAATATTTGTACTAGGTAAAGGTTTGGATAAATATATTTTTATCAACAACTGCAGTTTAACATTTTGTGGAAAATTTGCCGTTTAATAATGATACGGCCAACATTAATCCTCAAGATAAGGAAAATGAGCGACTTACACCCAAGTTTACCCATCCGCTTTCACATTTTATGAAAACCCACAATCCCTACTTTAATGCAGTGTAGAATTTTGCTGTCTGTTTTTGCCACCTCATCCTATGACTATAAAAATAATCGATTAAGGGGTAAGATTATACGCTGATTTTAGTCGTCGTTTACACGTTTATGTGCAGTAATATACAGTGTTTGTGCCGTTGATTTTCCAATACATTTATTTTCTAATACTGTAGTACGCTTTGAAAATGTGTCATTCAAATATAGTTTTACACAAATATTATAATCGAACATGTTTATTTTTCTAAAAATATAAATTAAATAACCCCCTAAATATGAGGTAATTTTTCGAAACCTCACAACATATATACATCGACACATTACTCCATATATTTCTTTAAAAACAAAATACTCCCTACCCCCTCCCTAAATAAGGAGTACATTTAAATATGATAGCAAATTTGACTTTTAGCACATTTAAAATACGTGTTCCGATTTTTTTGAACTGTTATACATTTTTAATACCCTATAGGACTACACAGTTTAAGAATATTTATTTTCAGTCATTTTTTTTTCGATTTTAGAACACCGTTTGACGTGACGTACCGACATAAAACGATAAATTTCAATAATTCTACGATATTTTCTTAGGTATTTTTAATTTTTAAATAATTTGTTTCCAAGCGATCGTTCAAAATTTAAAATTATAATACGACACCGGGCACTGACACACCGCAGATTTTCTACATATATACAACAGCTGGCCAGCCGGGGATTTTCCCGGTTTTTTCCTATTACAAAAAAATTTACAAGGAAAACAGCCTCCTTTTGCACTTACTATATACAATTGTCTTTCAGAAAAGATTGTACACATGAAATTCAAAACGAGGTTTCTGTTAGAAAAAGAAATTTAAATCGTTAACCCCGTAAATTTGTTCATTAAAATTTACGGGTTTTTTCTAATCATTATACAAATAACGCTTATAAAAACAAAATAAGAAACTAACCAACTAATACTAATTTTGTCTTTTTTTACTGGAGTAGGATTTCTGAAAAAAATAGAATAAAAAATCACATACTATCATTGTGTACGTACATTAGTGTTATAGGAACTTTATGTTCACATAATAATACAGTTATTAGAGAAGGTTGTGGAATACGAGAAGAATACGAAGAATTCATATGACGGCAACGTGCACCGAGAAATAAATACCTCGAGGAAGGACAAATAATATGGTTTTCGACAGTAGATTGAACAGGTTCGGGGGTTTAAAACCGGATAGTTAGGTATACACTTGAAACGGATTGCAAAGTGTATTACAGTTGCCGTGGCGAAAAATTCCTGTGTATGTATGGCATGTCAATAGAAGAGAGAGAGAGAGAGACGATACCTAATGTGCGTATATTTGCTAGCTTTTTTTCGTTATCTTGATAGAGTTCATCGGTTTATGAGATAATGTCTGGCAATTTACTCTCCACGTATATAATTTAAACCGTAACAAATTGGATAATAAATAATTTAATTTACGTTCAAGTCATATGCACATTGTAAAATAAAAATAACGTTTGAGTTTTGAGTTAGGTATTATAACGATATTAAAAATAAATATAAAACGTATACGTTGTACAAATAAAATAATAAAATACGCGTGTACAGACTGTACTCGCGCGAATTGTACGTATAATAGAATAGTTGTTCTGAGTATTTCGATAATTCGCGATGGATTAAATACTTACATTTTACTACGTTTGTTTGTCTGAAATTTGAATATTGTTTCTTTTTAGTTTTCACGGGTTAATAAAATATTTACTCGGAGTTATGTTTTTTGCCTCGGATTGTGTTATTTATTTCAATTTTTTTCTGATACTTTTGCCCCAAATTCGGTCACATCAGATATAATATTAGACATTACATTACACGCACGAGTTTAGGCCAAATTAAAACAAACAACTGCAATAGTAAGAGTTAAGTACGCCGAGTCGCGTCCAGCGAATTGAAATGTTTCCAAACCGTCGTCCGTTGTAACCGTGAAAACTGACCAACACAATTGACTGCAAAATTTAGCAAATTGATTTAAATGCATACATAGTTCATGAACCAAAAACACCTATACGGAATGCAACAGGTTACCACGGCGAAACTTCAGTTATTATCTACACTGTCAGAGGGCAGTTGCGTCGTTGTAGTGTTCAGTTGAACAACGGTTCGATCATCAGTTGCTCGGGAGATGCATTTAAGTCAATTTTAAAAAATGATGCAGCTGTAACGATCAGGGAACAAAATTTCCGATAAAAAAGGTTTTCCGAAAAATTGAAAATTTCATGGAAAAATGTTTTTTTCTTGAAGAATTGAAAAAATGATGGAAAGTTGAAACTATATATTATATTATACATATACTAACCAACTATATATAGCTGTATTATACTATTATAGTATTATGTACATAATAAAATATAAATTATAATATTTTAAGTAATAATTTAGTTAGTGCATGTTGTACTTCTTACGTAAGGAGAACTAAGAAGGTACGATGCCTACTGCCTAACGCCTATATAACTACAATCAACTGTAATATTTCACTATCGCGAATATCACAAAGACATCGCATACGATTTACGTCGGCCGTCTGCCAACTACTATTTCATATTTGTAATAATTAATAATATTATTGTCGTCTTTAATTATCGTCTCCCGCTAATGATGTTCTGTTGTTACGTATTTTTTCCTAAATGTGAAATAAGTAAATGACAATGACCGGTTTATTTTCACCAAATATTTTTAACTGGGTTTTTTTTTTATACTGTTTTTTTTTTTTTCCAAAAACTTCGGTTTTTTTGGAAATAAATTATTTTAATATTCTACGGTTTTTCTATACTTTCCAAAGCTCGGGGAAAAAACGGTTTTTTCCGAAATATTCCGGTACTTTGATCCCTAGTAATTATACAGTTGTCCAAGTTTTAATCTAGCGCGTAATAGTGTGAAATAGTTACCGATATATTAAACGGTGTATTCGTTCCGTGATTTCAAAAGATCACCCATACAAAGAGATTTCAAAAATAATTGTATACAGACTGTGTTTGGGTAAATTCGCATTAATAATATTATGACGTATAAAGCCGTTGGCCGAGTGTAGAGAGTGCAAGTCGTCATATTATAATATTATAATATGTATAGTACGAATATTGGCGCATAAACCACTTAAACAATTCGGTTCGATGAATTATTCGAGAACGAAAAGCTAACCGATTATAAATTTCCCGATTTAAGGCATTGTCTCGTGCTTGATTGTCAGCGTTTATTATTATTATTATTTGGTGTACGTTTATCATCGTTACAGCGGGAAATGTATATAATCAAGCAATAGTTGTACGCGCAGGACGATTTTAAAATAATATCATATAATATTGAAAGTTCAGTATAAGAGAATACTGTGCGGACGTGTAGTCTCTTTTTTAAACCGTTTCGCGGACCCAGAAATTCAGAAAGAAAAAAAAAAGTTATACCGATAAAACTACCTATAACTCGTAAAATGTATCTTATATAAAGATGTGTACGGACTTTTATTTACCTATACGTCCCGAAAGTTTCTACAAAGCTATTTCATCAGGTTATTTTATATATTGTACATTATTATGCTTCCGAAATAAACCTTTTGTGAAAAAAAGAATATAATGTATAGGCAATAATGTTATAAACATGTTCAAATGTTTTCAATTCGCTGCAGTTTAAAATAATAATATAAACTACAGTTGGCGAGTTACACACAATATATCTGGTGGATACGGTACTTACTACTATATAATATCGGAAAACAGAAACGCGAATTATTATTAAAAATATATTTTAATTGAACTATTACATTGGGCGTTACATGATAGGAAAAAAACGCACGCATCATACTGAACACGCATAATCTAAAGCAGTGTTTGCGATATTGATAACAATTATAAAACACGGTTATTAAAGATGAGTTTACGCGTTGTTAGGAATACGTTTTATTTTTATTAAATAACTTATAGGAGTCAACAAATTATTTGAAATAAAATAAATAGCGCATGATCCCGTTTTTTCTATGTTTTTATCGATT